AGTAGAGATGGGGTTTCACCATATTGGCCAGGCTGGTCTCGAATTCCTGACCTCGTGATCCACCTGCCTTGGCCCCCCAAAGTACTGGGATTACAGGTGTAAGCCACTGTGCCCAGCCCCAAAATGAAACATCTTAAACATCACAAACAGAGTGGCTGGGCGAGGCAGGCAGATCACGAGGTCAGGAGATTGAGACTATCCTGGCTAACACAGTGAAACCCCATCTCTACAAAAAATAAACAAATAAAAATAAAAAAAAATTAGCTGGGCGTGGTGGCAGGTGCCTGTAGTCCCAGCTACTCGGGAGGCTGAGGCAGGAGAATGAAGTGAACCCGGGAGGTGGAGCTTGCAGTGAGCCAAGATCACACCACTGCGTTCCAGCCTGGGCGACAGAGCGAGACTCCGTCTCAGAAAAAATAAATAAATAAATAAATAAAATTACTAACAGAGCAGGGGAGATAAGCCAATTCTATTCAGTAAATACTGTTTGACTTCTCATTCAGGCCAAATAATTGCTAAGGGTGACGGTAGAGAGAGAAATGGAAAACAGGAAGAAGAGTATAAATTATAAATAAAGTCTGGTCCATCCCACTCTAAAGAGAAATTCAGTGAGTCAGGCATTTATTTTTTAATTATTTCCTTTTTGAGATGAGGACTTGCTCTGTTGCCCAGGCTGGAGTGTAGTGGCACAATCATGGCTCACTATAGGATTGACCTTCCAGGCTCATGAGATCCTCAACCTCTTGAGTAGCTGAGACTACATGTGTGTGCCACCACGCTGGGCTAATTTAAACAATTTTTTTTTTTTTTTTTTTTGGTATAGCAGTTGGGCACATTGAATCACACCTGTAATCCCAATACTTTGGGAGGCTGAGGCGGGCAGATCACCTGAGGCCAGGAGTTCGAGACCAGCCTGGGCAATATAGTGAAACTTGTCTCTACTAAAAATACAAAATTAACCAGGCATGTTGGCACAAGCCTGTAATCCCAGCTACTTGGGAGGTTGACGCAGGAGAATCGCTTAAACCCAGGAGGTGGAGGTTGCAGTGGGCTGAGATCGCACCCCTGCACTCCAGCCTGGGCAACAGAGTGAGACCCTGTCTTAAACCAGACTGGTATTGAACTCCTGGGCTCAAGCTATCCTCCTGCCTCAGCCTTCCACAGTGCTGGGATTACAGGCATGATGCACTGCATCTGGCCAGGTATTTCTTGGTAGAGGATTTACTCCTCCCCAGCCCACCATGATCTCTTTATTGGAACTCCTCCAACTCTCCCTTGGCATACTGGTCATTTGGCATGTGTTCACCTATTACATCTATATCATCATACAAATCTTTTCTCTCAAAAGAAATCATATGCTCTAACAGCACAAGATCTTATAACCTGAATATTCTTTTTCTTTTACTTATTCCCCCAGAATTTGTAATAAAATGCGATTCACACATTAGGGATTCCATTTGTGGATCAAAGGAAAGAAACAAGTCCCTAGTTCTGAGTACAGGCAATTTTATGCTATTTATTAGTTGTTATGGAATAAAAGATAAATCACTACCAGGCCGGGCGCGGAGGCTCACACCTGTAATCCCAGCACTTTGGGAGGCCGAAGCAGATGGATCACGAGGTCAGGAGATTGAGATCATCCTGGCTAACATAGTGAAACCCTGTCTCTACTAAAAATACACACACACACACACACACACACACACACTAGCTGGGCATGGTGGCGGGGCCCTGTAGTCCCAGCTACTTGGGAGGCTGAGGCAAGAGAATGGCATGAACCTGGGAGGTGGAAGTTGCAGCAAGCTGAGATCGTGCCACTGCACTCTAGTCTGGGTAACAGAGAGAGACTCCATTTCAAGAAACAGAAGAAGAAAGAAGAAGAAAGAAGAAGAAGAAGAAGAAAGAAGAAGAAGAAGGAGAAGAAGAAGAAGAAGGAGAAGAGGAGGAGGAGGAGGAAAGAAGAAAGAAGAATCACTATCTCTTACTACTGTGCTTACCCTAATGGATTTTTCATATAGTCCCACTTTCTAATTCATAATCTGATCTCTAGTTTCATCAGAGCACCTTAGTTTTTAGGTAAAGGCTCTTCTATTAACCACTTCTAAAATGACAAATTGGGCTTATTCTATGCAGTTCAAAAAACAGAACAAGGCTAAGAAGTGAAGTTACAGAAAAGACATTTTCACTCACAGAAGGAAAAATTTGTGCACAGCCAGAGTAGTTAAAAAACAAAACAAGAAACCAGAATGGACAAGGTTAAAAAGTAGTAAACTTTGAGTCATTTGTAGCACTTAAGCAGATGACAACTATACCTATTCATTTGTTATATTTTGGAGGGGCATCTTATAGTCTTGACTAAGTGATTTCTGCACCTCTGAAATGTAGTAGTCTAGGCCGGGCAAGGTGGTTTATTCCTATAATCCCAGAACTTTGGAGATCAAGCCGGCGGATCACCTGAGGTCAGGAGTTCGAGACCAGCCTGGCCCACAAGGTGAAACCTTGTCTCTACTAAAAATACAAAAGCCAGGAGTGGTGGCGTGCACCTGTAATCTCAGCTACTTGGGAGGCTAAGGCAGGAGAATTGCTTGAACCCGGAAGGCGGAGGTTGCAGTGAGCTGAGATCACGCCACTGCACTCCAGCCCGGGTGATGGAGTGAGGCTCTGTTTCAAAAATAAATTTAAGAAATTGAAATATAGTAGTCTTTCTCTATATATATATCTAGACAGTTAATGTGTATATATTTTATGTATATATATATATATTTTTTGTGTGTGTGTGTGTGTGTGTATATATATATTTGAGACGGAGTCTCACTCTGTCACCAGGCTGGAGTGCAGCCTGCCTCAGCCTCCCGAATAGCTGGGACTACAGGTGCATACCACCATGCCTGGCTAATTTTTTGTATTTTTAGTAGAGACGGGGTTTCACCATATTAGCCAGGATGGTCTCGATCTCCTGACCTCGTGATCTGCCCGCCTCAGCCTCCCAAGTATTTTTTATTGACTTCTCAATAGGATACTTTATACTTATCAAACAGATACTGGTATTACAGTGATATGAACTATTAACAAGTGGAAATTTGGAAGT